CTTTGCACTCGAGCTCCACGATGCCACGTCGTCAGAGTCGTGCACAAGGGCCTGATTCAACAACAAGGGCACTGCTCTGAAGTGTGCAAGCAAGGACTCTTTCCACTCGTCTCCCCTTGCGTGGGTGCAACTGCTGAGCATTGTTGAAATCCTTCAAGTCTGGTCTTTTGCTCAATGACCCTTTGAGTGATGTTTGCAGTTGTTCTTCGTTCCTTTGATTTAGATCTACTCTTCATTTTTCTTTTCTTTTATTCTCTTCATTCCTCGCAATGGCACTGCAGCAGCGCAGTTTCGCCGCGTTCGCCGCACTGCTTGCATTGAGCACAGCACTTGAGCATTGAGCATTGCGGTTTGCTTCTCGCTCACTTCAGCTCCTCCTCCTCCTCCTCCTCGTCCTTCTCCTTCTTTATTCTGCTTCTTTCTGTCTTTCTCTTGCTTTGATCGATGCGCGTCATGCGTGCTCTTGGAGTGGCAGCGGTTGGACTGCCTTGTCTTTCTTGAATTCTGAACAGACGATCAACAAGGAAGTGTACTCGAGCGACATCAAAATGCAAACGAAGCGCACCATCGCATCAATCAAAACGAGCCCCATTTCGTGTCCACCTTCACAGCATTGCACCAATCTCGCGAATCGTCGTCCCATCCTGGAGCGCCGTCAAAGACTGGACGAGCTGAGCAAAGGTCGGCCGTTTCTCGGGCGGCATGTCCCAACAAGTAAGCATCAGGCTATAAAGTTCAGGTGAGCAGTGCTCCGGTATGGCTAGTCGACCACCAGCCTCCACACGAGCCAGAGTGTCACGCCCATCCATCTCGCCATAAGGCTTTGCACCGTGACTCGAGCATTCCCCTATTAACATGCACCAGCAATAAATGAGATGCAAGTGCGAATTTCAGCACATTGTGACTTTCCTTACAAGCTGTCACGCCGAAAGCCCACACATCCGACATGGTCGAGAACTTGCGGAAGGTCATTGTTTCCGGCGCCATCCACTGCAAGAAGAGTGCAAGACCACCTGAGTTAGTATCACAGCAACAAGTATCAATTTGCACACCCTCGACTCACTTTCACGGGAAGCTTGCCACGCGTTTGCATGCGGTAGTAGTCGTTCTCGGAAGCGAGTTCGCGAGAAAGCCCAAAATCAGCAATCTTGACCACCATTCCTTGCCCCACAAGGCAGTTGCGCGCGGCAAGGTCACGATGCACAAAGTGGAGCGTGCCGAGATACTCCATGCCAAGTGCAATCTGACGAATGGCATGGATCTGCTCGTTCTGGGTCCACCACAGCGAGCGGAGCTTGGACTTTTGAAGCATCGTGCGCAAATCGCCATATTGCACAAACTCCAACAGAACGAGATGGGGCTCGGACTCAACCAGAGCCGCAAGCAAGCGCACGACATTCGTATGCACAAACGGCGCCATCAGTTTCGCCTCGCTCTCAAAGTCTTTGCGGGATTTCTCGTCTGCATCAGACTTGAGCGACTTGACTGCCACTTGCACGGTTTCAGATGCTGCAGGCCCAAGCAAATTCTGTGCTCGCGGGGGCAAGACGCTGAACGACAGCTGACCCAGCGCCACATCGCCAAAGTTGCCACTGGCGAGGTGCTTCACAATCGTCAAACCCTCACGGATGCGACGGGAATTGCTGCCAGCAACGTACGCACTTGCATAATCATATACCACCTCCTTAGAGCTCGTTGAAATGGCTTGGTACAAAGGCTCGGGCTGCTTTTGACCGACCACGGCATAAGCTTCGATGTCCTCCTCTTTTTGAGCTCGAGGCGAATGAATCAGGGGAGAGATTGTCATTTCAATCGCCTCCTGATGAATCGGACCGGTAGAGTCCTTCGGTCGCGTGCCTGAACGTCGTTGCGAGCGCCGTCGTCGCATCACGATGAACACCGCTGCAATGATCGCAACCACGACAACACACGCAACAACAGCAGCGATGACGGCTGCTGACGATGAAGATGAATCTTGAGAGCCGCCACCGCCGTGTTGTGCAATGGAGGATGCAACGGATGCAGCAGATGCCGATGCGGTGGACGCAACAGAAGCAACTGAGGCAGAGGCGGTTGAGGCAGCCGAGGCGAGCGAAGCAGACGCAATGGAAGCGAGCGACACACAAGATCCATCAATCAGGCCATACCCTTCATAGCACTGAGTGCAGGGATCGGATGAATCGCAGGCCAGACAATTCATCGCGCAACACGAGCCGTTCCCTGAGGCATAGCACGTGGCACAGGCTGTATCACACTCTGCAATACAACAAGGTCAGAGAAGTGACCAAATGAGGATTGCAGCGGCGGCCTGTCAAACTTACTGTATGGATTGGTTGCAATGCCGTATGTGCTGGGTGGAGCGACAGAGTTGCCACCAAAGGTGAAATTGTTGGGGCTCAGATATGGGTTTGAATAGGACAAAGCCAAGCTATTCTTCAGGCCCTTGAACAGACCAGGCGGCAAAGTGGTGACAGGATTGTCATTCAAAGCCCTGCAAGTACCGTAAAGTCAGAGGAGAATTGAATACGTGCATGATAAAAAAAACTTACAGTCGTGTAAGCGCAAGGAGACCTGCGAATGTGTTTGCAGCAATGCTGGTGATCTGATTGATTTGTAGATATCTACAGATAAAGAAGGGCAACGAATGAGCCGATTGAAGGGTGTGATTTGTTTTTCAGGCCGTTGCTTGCGTACAATTGCGCCAGTAAAGTTAGGCCCGTGAATGCGTTTGCAGGAATGCTCGTGATCTTGTTGCTGTGCAGATACCTACAGATAGAGTCGCAAGACGAGTGAGCTCGTTGTATGGTTCTTCCTGCCTTTTGCTTGCTTACAAGTGATTCAGCTTGGTAAGTTCTGTGACTGTAGTTGGCGAAAAGCTGGTGATCCGGTTGTTATTGATGTATCTAAAGATCGTGTCGCCAATGAGTGGCCCGTGTGTGTGTGTGTGTGTGTGTGTGTGTGTGTGTGTGTGTGTGTGTGTGTGTGTGTGTGTGTGTGTGTGTGTGTGTGTGTGTGTGTGTGTGTGTGTGTGTGTGTGTGTGTGTGTGTGTGTGTGTGTGTGTGTGTGTGTGTGTGTGTGTACTTTTTCATAGATGCATCTTTGCTTTGCTTACAAGTACTGCAGCGCAGTCAGGCCTGTAAATGCGGAGGCGGGAATGCTGGTAATCTGTATCCCTGCAAAATGGAGCCGCAAACAAGTGAGCCGTTTGTGCTTCTATCTCTTCACGTCTTTGCTTGCTTACAAGACACTCAGCGCGCTCAGGCTGGTGAAGACGGTTGCAGCAATGTCGGTGATCTGGTTGCTGGATATATATCTACAGATAGCGTCGAAAATGAAGGACTCGCCGTGTCCGCAGTCCTTCCCCCGTCTTGGCCTTGCTTACAACTGTTTCAGCGACGTCAGGCCTGTGAATGTGTCTGCGGGAATGCTAGTGATCTGGTTGTCGTACAGATTCCTGAAGAACGAGTCGCAAACGAGTGAGTCCGTTTTGTCGATTTGTCGTGCCTTTTGCTTTGCTCACAAGGAATTCAGCGCAATGAGCCCTGTGAATGCGTCTGCGGCAATGCTGCTCAAAATGTTGCCTCGTAGATCTCTACAAGGTTGAGTCGCATACAAGTGAGCAGTTTGGTTTGGTGTGCGCTCCATTCTCTCTCTGCGAGCTTACAGCAGCATCAGCGCACTCAGGTCTGAGAATGCAGAAGCGGGAATGCTGGTGAGCTGGTTATCATTCAGATATCTACAGATAGAGTCGCAAACGAGTGAGCTCGTTGGTACGTGCTTCGCAAATGCTTTCGTTGCTGCTTGCTCACATGGTCGTAAGCGCAGTCAGGCCAGCGAACGCGGTGGACGAAATGTTGGGGATGAGATTGGAGCCCAGAAGCCTATTGATCGCGATTGCCATTCAGCCGAGGTCAAATGCTTCGATTCAAGTTCGACCCAAATGGCAATACACTTACAGCTGTGTCGCGTTGACTGGAATTCCGCTTGGAAAGGCGGTGAGCGATTTGGCTCCGCAATCGACCGTAGTTCCGTAGCAACTGCACACGCCAGGGTCGCATGCGTTGGCTGCATGTGCCAAATGGACGTCATGCATGACGCCAAACAGCAGCAGCGGCAGCAGCAGCAATAGACCCAGAGCAACCCCTGTTGGAGACATGTTGTTGTGACTTGTTGTGAAATCCGAGACCTGCTGTCGATCGACGAAAAGCGCACCACCAGTAACAAGTACAGTACGCGGTGAGCTCGCGGCGTTTCAACAAACATCGTCACAGAGATGAAAATTCAGCTGTGTGTGGATGGATGAATGAATGGCTTCGAGCATTGTGTTCAGCTCAAGTGACAAAAGTGAGTTGGATTGTGGATTGTGGATTGTGGATTGTGGATTGCGGTGCAAAATTCACACACTGATACGCATTCAGCGCGCGCTCGTCCTGTCTGCCCGTCGCGCCTCGCCTCGCACGTGCACGCACTTTGAATGTCTCATTTCGCGTCAAAGTCAGCGGCGGAACGAGGCGACGCGTCCGCTTCGACCAGTGAGGCTTTGTGGATTTCAAGCACAAAGGGCAACGCTCGCAGTGGGGCTTCCGCAGTCCCTTCCTTCCGCTTCATCCGCTCGTCGTGAATAAGCATGCCTTTCCACTGAGCGCATCGAAGGACCAGCGGCGGGTGGGGGCGGGTGGTTGGACAGAGAAGGAGGAGTGCGGGGGTCGTCCTGCTGGGTTGTTGCGCTCCAATCCCGCTCCTGACGTGACGTGCAAACTGCCGACTTTCCAATGCGAAATGCACAATGAAAAGGCAAAAAAAAAAAAACATGTCGAAATGTAGCAGCGGATTGCTGCTTGGGTTTGAGTGAGGCGCATTGGCTTACTTTTGTGACCGAGCAAATCGCAACACACACAGGCAGAAAACCAAGAGTGATCTGCTCTGTCATAGCCCAGAGCATCTTGATTTGAACCAGCTTTGTTGAACTTTGACTTTTATGGGAGGAGGATGGCTGGGAAACGCCGCACAGGACAATGCCAGAGGCTTGAAGGTTTCAAAATCTCGCATTGCGCTTCAAGCTTCAAGCGAAAGTGATGGTGCGACAAAAGGAGCTGCTCGAACGGCTATTTCCATAGAATTGTTTAATCGGGTATTCAAACAAGCATGGAAAAGCAAGAGGAATGGCATAGCAGAAGAGCTGCATCGACAAGAACGGAAAGCGCCGCCGCCCCAACTTCAGATTTCCAAACGATCTCGCGGTGCAGTCAGTGCGACTCGGATGCGGGTTGACGTGACTTTGATCTGCAATGCTGTAGGAGTGACT